ATATATATGTGTGTGTGTGTGTGTGTGTGTGTGTGTGTGTGTGTGTGTGTGTGTGTGTGTGTGTGTGTGTGTATTGAAAGAATATATATTTCTTTTTTTAATAAATTACAACCGACATATAAGAGGATGCCGGTAACAATTTGATTTATTTGTATTTAATATTAAAAAATAATCATTAATTATTTATTTTGAATATTAAAAACACTGTTATTCAATATTACAAAATAAATAATTTTCAATATTAAATCGGTCAATATCGGTCAAAGTTAGATATTCATTTAATGTATTATTCAATTCACTAATTAAATTATTTTTATTGTGTAATTTATATCTCAACGTACATATTTATACATATCAGAAATAGCAGAGAAATTTCATGAGAGAAATTAAAAATAAGAACTGCTATTTTTCCAGTTCCTTAGTGTCACTTATATTTACGAGAATGCCGAGAAATTTACACTCGTGAAAGAGCCCTTTATATACTGAGTGATACTGGTCATCAAGAGATTTAAAAGAGCCGTTCAATGTTCCTGTTGATGAACATGAGAGAATGTGTTTCGAGATTGTATTTCGAGAGCAAGTAAACTATTGATTCTCATTTCGAAAGCCAAGTTCCTCTTCGAGGAACAAAGATAACTTCATTACTCGGATTATCGAATCTATACCCTCAAAATGAACAATATCTTGTTGCAAGCAATTCTTTCAAAGTATCGTTGCGTTTATATGTAACAAACATTTTGAATAAACAATTGAAGTTTCACACTATTGCTTTCTTTTTTCAGCAAAGCATACGAATCTCGACGAAATTTTTTGTATCACATGCTGATAAAAATAAAATTACAATATATTATCTAATTCGTTTTATTTTTATTACAAAATAACAACTATTTACTTTTAGCAATTTTCCGATTTTGTTCTACATATCACGTATATGAGGAAAATATGTTATTAAAACTATTTATGCTGATATGATTATACATATATATATGATGGATTTTTATTATTTATTTTAATCTTTATATATTTTATTTGCATTGCATAAATGTGTAATTACACAGATCATGATTTGAACTGAGATTTTTACCGTCATAAAAATCTTTGTACAATGAACTCAATCATGATTTTTAAAGAATCGTTGGTTCGGTATGTTTTAGCCCCAACCCGATTTCAAGGAAAATCGCGAGTCACCACGTGGTAGCGTTAAGGAGAGCGAACCTCAAGAACATGTGCCTTCCTCTGCGCCGGCCGCCAGAATCGCCGTCGAGAGTAACACAGAGACACCGTCAGGATGGAGTTCGAGGAGCACCTCCTTGAACAAACCGGAAAACCCCATTACAGTCCATGATACAAACTCCGTTCTCGACAAAGTCGCACTGTTCCACAAAGTAAGACGCTTTACGTTTGATCCTCGTTATACTTTAACATATCTACAAGTGAAGAAAACACAACTTAAATCGATGAAGTTAACGTCTCGCTTTAAATAGTTACCATGTTAAATCTATCTTATGTAATCTATAATTTTAAAATTTAGGATAGAATTTTGTTTATAACTTCATATACTATGTAATAAAAACATTTCATAATCAGAATATATATTAAAATAAGAATATATATTAAATAAATGTTAAAACAAATGGCATATAAAATTATAAACAGAATTCTGAAATCTGACGATGATAAATTATTTAAATTGGACTAAAAGTGTATAACTAAATTGTATTAATGTAAAAGTAATTATATTTGAACGAGGACGATCATTAATATCGTTGGAAATGTTTCTTTTTCAACGCGCATAAATATTTAAATAATTTGTTGGTAAATAAGTTTAAGAAAGAATATTTTTTCGTAAGCATCGACATGCTCGTGGCAGAGATGCGACTACTGGTTCCCTTCATCATACCTTAAGCGTTCATACGACTGCGATCGAGCAAACCTACATGGCGGAGGAATGTGACGAGAATGACTATCATCTTGATTTGGACTCCTACAAGCCCGTGCAGCCGCTCAAAATCGACCACGGAGTTGCTTTGTTTCCCGTTGCAGCGCCACACACTGGCATGGATCTTCATCTTCTGCAGGTATGTCATGCGTTGCATTCCGCAGACAAATACATATTTCATACAAAATCATAGATATTGTATCGAAATGAAATCTCATATTATCTATTTCATCATTTCATCATTCCATCATTCCACCATGCCATCATTTCATCATTCCATCGTTTCATCATACCATCGTTCCAGCGTTCCATCATTCCATCGTTCCATCGTTCCATTATTCCATCATTTCATCATTTCATTGTTGCATCGTTTCATCATTCATCGTTTCATCATTTCATCGTTTTATCGTTTCATCATTTCATCATTTTATTATTTTATCATTTTATCATTTCATCATTTCCTCATTTTATCTATTTTACGTAACAATTATATGAATTACATTTTCATGAATTACATGTCAAATAGACTTTCAGATTCAAATAATCATTATTGTAGTTTTATTTTAAAAATAAATATAATAAAAATAATTAATACAATACTTACAATAATTACATATAATGGCAAAAGATCAATATTTTACCTAAATAATTATTAAAACATCCTTTAAATTTCATCCGGCTGATGACTCAGATCCTATTAAATGGATTACTCGAAGAAAAAAAAAGTTTTTAAAAATAAATTATGAATTTTTCTGACATTACATATGGAAAAAAGACGAAGTTTTTAAATTCTAATTAATCAAAATGTTGAAAAATATTCATAGAATTAAAAGCAATAATTATATACAAAACAATACTACATATTTCTTACATCTGTTCAAAGCGCATGAAAAATGCCTGTATTGAAATTTAATTAAATTTGACATAATTAATAATTGGTAATGTTATGAAAGTTGCAACGCAATATAATTTCCGCTCTGTGATAATGTGCATAACATTTGCTCTCTAGCATCCGGATTATTCATTGACACACACACACACACACACACACACACACACACACACACACACACACAAAAAGAAGAGAACAGAAAAGAGAGAGAGAGAGAAGAGAGAGAGAGGAATGGAGGAGATTTTGTCTGAGATCATTGAGATTGTTTTGTAGGATTGAGAGATATTGCGCCATACAAAACGAAACTAGCCAATTGTATACGTGACATCACAATACTACACGTGAAGTGCAAATATTGGACATGCAGGATTTGTTACACATTGCAGTGCGACGCCAGGGCGCAGTTTTTCATCCTAGCACAGTTATAGGCCGCACATTGGGAAGTCAAACATATGATTTTTCTACAATCTGTGTTATCTGGTAATATAAACACTACTAGACATTATTAGTAATTATTTATTATATTTATATATTTATGCAAAAATTATTAGACGATAAACATAATGTTTAAATGCGATGCTTAAATAATATTATCGTATTACGAAAAAAATATCATGCTTCAGATCAACATGTTAAAATAAAATATAGAGAAATGTCGAAACAACTTTCGTGACGTAAATTTTTTAAGGAATGTCGAACTATCTTTTTATCATCACATCATTTACATGTAGTGTGACGATAAAAATATAAATGTTAAATAACAGCAATTAATTTTTAAACTTAATGTTAAATAACCGTTAATATGTTGTTTATTATTTATGCACATAGAACCAGTTACTTTCAAACATTTATATACCTCTAAAATTTTTTTCGTCATTGATTTGTAATTGTCTCTTGTCGCAATTATTTTAGACTACTACTTTTCAAAGAAATAATACAAAACAATTATATATCATGACATTAAAGGAAAATATCCATATCAGAATTTTACATCTTTTTTGTTTCATCCAAAATGAATAACAGTTTTCCTATTTCAAGTCGGTAAGCTCCAACGTGAATGTGAATTTAATGTATCATAACGGAAGAAACACCCGAGAGGTAAAAATTCAAGTACAGGTGAAAGACAATCTCATATTCAACAGAGTTCCTTCGTCTCGAGAACTTTTGTTTATTTAAACTTATTTATGCTACAATATTTATGTTTGTTATTAATCATAGCTAACAGAAAATTCAGAAATATATTTTAACATCTTTGCACATTATAATCTTTAGTATCCCATTTAAATGATTAAGATCTAATAATTAAAAAAAATATTATCGTTCAAAAATATCATTTTGAATTTAAAATATTATTCAAATAAAAGATAAGACATTTAGTTTATACGGGTGAAAATTGTAGCTACATATAAAATGTATGTATTGATCAATGCCAGGAAAAAGAAGAAAAAAAAATATGAAGAAGAAATTGTAAAAACGATTTAAAATATGATTTAGATTTTTTTTTTACAGCATCATCATATTCAAATGTGACGCTAACAAATTCCTATTTTGCTAAGGAATTCCAAAGGTGTCTTTGAAATTTAAATAAACATTCACGTATTTTTTCTTTGATTTCGTAGTCAAGCAAAGCGAGCGATCTAGAAATTCTTAGATCTGCAGTTTTCCATTTAAGCTACATAAATCACAAAAGAAGTATAGAAAAGATTTTTATGCGAATATCTTTCCATATTTGTTATGTTTACGATTTCTTTAAGATATTTAGCTAGATATCGAGATAATAGATAATAGATAAGATAAATAACTTATATTTATATAATTTATATTGAATTTTATTAAGAAATATCGAGATTTTGCGACACTGGCAAGCATATATCTTTATATAGTATAAAGCATCTTCTTATCATCGGACAATATCGCGATATCAATGTCGACATTTCTACTGCGGCGTTGCACCAGTGAGATAAAAGATATCGTCAGCACATAGCTTGCTACACGTCAAAAAGATTTCAAAGGGACTAGCCTTATTCTCGCACCCGCGGCATATCTCGCAGAAATTAGAAAGAAATATGCAGGAGGACGAGCAGGAAAGGAAAAGAGTATTCTCTCTCTCTCTCT